TGTGAAAAAGTTGTTTCACCCTCTCCTCTGTGAATCCTGGAAGGAATGGAGCTAATGAAAAATTAGTGAGGTACAGCAAGATGGCTTCTCACTGGCAAGCATTAATTCTGTAATAAGTGAGTTCTGTTTCTCCAGGGGCTAAGTTAATTTCTAGACCAGATCCCAGATCTGGAAGCAGTGTAGCTTCCCATTTTCTAACAGATAGGTCACCAAAGTTCTGTGAGCTTATGATTGTTGGGAAGGCATGATTTTGCCATTGATTACACACGTGCAAAGTGCTGTTAATCTGTTTCGACAACATCTGAAAACAAAATGAAATTAAAACGTCTGGTCTATCAGCAGAAGCCACACAACAAAGTATGTTTCCCTCTGGCTAGCGTTAAAGTTCTTGCCAAAAATTGCCTGCCAGCCCTGCACTGAGGACTGAACTAGGTTTGCCTGTTGAGAAGTCACGTCAGGCAAACTTCTCTGTCTGCGTATACTAGTAAATTAAACAATTGTCCTGCAGTTTAATTGTTCTCGTGTTTACTGGTCTGCATTTGGCCTACAACAAGTAACACTTTCCCACAAAACAGGATGGTCTGGGGGACAGCTTAAGCCAGGGTTTGGTGCAATAGGCTGTATGGACAACTCTCTCATGATTCAGGAGTGGGGAGGACAGTTTAACTGTATGTAAATCATGTTTGACCAATTTGATGGCCTTCTACAATGATGTAACTGGTTGGCTGGGTGAGGGGAGAGCCGTAGATGTCATCTACCTTGACTTTAGCAAGGCTTTTGACACTGTCTCCCATAACATCCTCATTAAGAAGCTGAGGAAGTGCGGGTTAGATGAGTTGACAGTAAGGTGGATTGAGAGCTGGCTGTGTGACAGGACTCAAAGGGTTGTGATCAGTGGCACGAAGTCTAGTTGGAGGCCTGTAACCAGTGGTGTCCCCCAGGGGTGGATACTTGGTCCAATTTTGTTTAATATATTCATTAATGACCTGGACGAGGGGACAGAGTGTATCCTCAGCAAGTTTGCTGATGATACCAAACTGGGAGGGGTGGCTGACTCTCCAGAGGGCCGTGCTGCCATCCAGTGTGACCTGGACAGGCTGGAGAGCTGGGCTGAGAGGAACCTAATGAGGTTCAGCATAAGCAAGTGCAGGGTCCTGACCTGGGGAGGAAGAATGCTAGGCACCAGTATAGGTTAGGGGTGGACCTGCTGGGAAGTAGCTCTGAGGAGAAGGATTTGGGGGTCCTGGTAGATAGTAAATTGTCAATGAGCCAGCAATGTGCCCTTGCTGCCAAAAAGGCCAATGGAATCCTGGG